GTGGAAGAGGAGGAGGAGGAGGAGGAATGTTTGTGATGAATTTTCAGGCTTCAAGTCTCGGTTTCAAGGAAAAATGAACAAAGATTTAACGATCTTGGCGTCTAAAGCTGATGATCCAGAAAAGGTCAGGATGATTATCTTGCTCCTTCTGCTCTTTCTCCTGCTTCTGCTTCTGCTGCTGCTTCTGCTCCTGCTCCTCGCCTTTTGATTCTTCCTTCTCGTCCTTGTCCTTCTGTTTTCCTTTGCTCTGTCTCTCGTCCTCGTCCTCCTCGTCCTCCTCGTCCTCCTCGTCCTCCTCGTCCTCCTCCTCGTCCTCCTCGTCCTCCTCGTCCTCCTCGTCCTCCTCCTCCTCCTCCTCCTCCTCCTCCATCTTTCCCAACCCAGCTTCCCACCGGCTCCAGATGAGCGGGGATGAGGGGCGGAACTGACCCGGCGGCCCGGCGGCGATGACCGCCACGGTGACTCACTTACTAGTAACTTCTCCCAGTCCTCTTTTCGCTTCTCTGAGGCTCAGAGCCACACGTCACGACAAGCAACGATGCTACCGCGCAGGTGTGACCGTTCGACGCTTGATCTTCCGAAGACGTTCCGGGCCGGGTGCCACCGTGACGGACTCGGATCGGATCGGACTCAGTCGGGATCATCGGACAGTGATGGCAGGAGATCATCGGATGCATGATGATGAGACCGGCGGCGGCGGGGAGCAAGTTCAGAGTCTACACATTGTGACAGTGGTCGATACGAGCATTTGTAGAAATTCATTCAATGATTGCAGCTTCAGTCAATGGAAGTCGCTCTTCGTCTCCGGTTGGTACTCGGACGAGTGGCATATGACCTGAGTTAATACATTTGTTTCATTCCACCGTTGAAAACTGCACGGTTCTGACGTCAGTGACGATTGAAGAAAGGTTAAAGTAGGTAGTTGAGGTGTGAGAATGAGTGATCAATCATTCAATAGTTACATCACAGCTCATGACCATGATCGTATTGAACAACCTTGTAGCTCATACTCCCAGTGACGTCTGTCAAAGACGAGGAGGAATCTCCCGAGAGCTTGCTGGCGCTCGAGGCTTCACTGCATGTTTGCATCCTTGTTTCCCCGACCCCGTGTGCTGCTTTTCTTTTCTGAAATGCTGCAGAAACATTTGCAAGGAGTTTTTGCCCGTCCTCAAAGACTTGGATCCTCTGAGAGGAACGAACGCCCCCACATGCAACGGTGGCCGGATGATGATGGGAGAGAGTCGCACTGGCTTGCAAGTAAGCCAGTTGTCGAGGGTTCAACGTGAGCCTTGGGGTAGGTGGATGCATATTGCTGCTAAGTCGACGAAGAAGAACGCTGAGATGTTTCGAAATCTTGTAGCGAAGAATTCGATGTGGAAGAAATAAGTAGATCCAGGAGGATGATCGAAGAAAGGAGGAAGGGGAAACGAGGTGCAAGGAGAGAGGAGACAGGACGTAAAAGGAGAGAGGAGGTAGAAGGAGACAGCAGGTACGAGGAGAGAGGAGGTACGAGGAGATAGGAGATACGAGGAGAGAGGAGATACGAGGAGAGAGGAGGTAGAAGGAGACAGCAGGTACGAGGAGATAGAAGTTTAGGAGGAGAGAGGAGATAGAAGGAGGTAGGAGGTGCAAGGAGAGACGAGGCGCAAGAAGAGCAGGTTGTGTTATTTTCGCTCGGACGCATTTCTGCCTTTTTACTACTGCCGTGAGGATTCAGAGGTACCGGGATCAAGGGGGTCGCATCGAGTTGAGATCGCCCGGAGATCTCAAAGCTTCTGCATCCGTGACCATGCCATGACCAGCCACGTGACAGTCAGACGGCCGCCGCTCAGACTTCTTCGGACTCACCGTCGACTCGCAACTTTCGAACCGTGACGGTCGGCCCGAACCGTCGGCCGACAGTGGGCCCGGTGACGCGCCGGGGCCGCTGCGGCCGGGGCCCGGGAAGCCGTTCCGTTGAACGGTTCAAGTGCGACAAATCAGAGTCACCCGGGCCCGTGCCACCCCCGGCGGAGGCTAGTGACTTGTACTGTACGGTAACTAGAGGGTCGCAGTGGCTTGGTTTACACTGACAGGGGGCCCTGAGAGTTTTAAGGAGTCGGCGCCGACGGCTGGCATGCGATCCCGTCATCATGGTACTCAGTGCATCTCATCCGATCTCTCAGCAGCTGCCCTGCACAGCGCCGGGCAGCACGCCGGACCGTACGGTGCCGGGCTGCGAGACCGTACGGTACGGTACTGGCACGGTACGGTCCGATCACCGGGCCGGGCGGATCGGACCGTACGGGCCGGTGACTTGAGTGTGTTTAACGGATAATAACGGTTTCGTCACCCGCAGGTACGTATGGGAATTGGACGCATGTGATACAAGAGGTGGGCTGTGCTACAAGGGTGGGGTACTTGAAGTGGAAAGTAGGGGTTAGAACGAGTAGGGGTGGTCACTGGTGGTTGGCATGACATGCCGGGGGCCGAAGGCAAAGCTGCGACCAGGAGCAGGAGCAGGAGCAGGAGCAGGAGCAGGAGCAGGAGCAGGAGCAGGAGCAGGAGCA